CACATCGTATCTTCGCCGTTTCAAGCCTGTTCTGGGTCTCCGTTGAGTACACCGGTGCTACCAACACTGTCTGTTTCAGGTTGCGTAGCTCATTGCTCATGTCGTCACCCATCTGTTGTCCAACATAGATGACGATCTTCTCCCATGTGCATATCATCTGGTCTGCCGTTCCAGATCCAGTTGTACCGAAGTTAAACACATGTTGGTTGAGGGCTTTGCATGAACCTTTCTGCTGGTTCGACGATGGACTGGTTCTTCCATGCCCTCGTGCTTTGCCGCCTCCTCGGCCACCTCTTCCTTTACCTCTACCGCTCATTGTATATGTTACGGTAGGTGGACTATTTCAATTCGTTGTTTTTGATTGACTAGCTCTTTATTTTAAGTTCTCGTCCGACTACTTATTCGTCTTTTGGCTATGGGGCGATAACTTCAAATTTATACTCCTGGCTAGGGAGTGTTAAATCTATTTACTAAAGATCTTGCAGGGAGGGAACGATTGCTTCACACACTGTGCGGTCGTTTCCACTCCGAACCCGTTTCTTTGTATTGTTGATTCCTTGTTGGGTGCCCGTCCTTTGGCCCCTGCGCTGGCACTATGGCTTTCGCGCTTGTTGTTGGCTCTGACAGTTCCGGCTGGATGCTGTCGGCTCTCGGCAATCCTTGTGGATTCTGCCGATGAAACTCTCTCGCGTCGTCGCGATCGATCCGTCCTCGGATCCTTCTGCTCTTGTCGCGGCGTCGCTCTCGTTCCGTCGTCGCGTTGCTGTCGATCCTTCGACAGTCTTCTGCTCTTCGGTCTTGTACCGATGCCGTCGTCGTTGTCGTCGTCGACGGTCTTCTTCTCTTGTGTCGCGTCGTTGCTGTCGTAATCGACAGGTTTGGTCTCTATCGTCTCGTCGTAGCAATCCGTCCTCGGATCGTCGTTGCGATCGGCGTTCGGCCGATACTCGCTTCTTCCTGCTACAGTTTGCTTCGTTGCTTCGTTGCTTCGATAGGCTCCTCTTCGCTGCTTCGACTCGATAGTAGACCGCTTTTTCAGTAGTATGTTAGTTGCTCTAAGCTCTCTTAGTTGTTACTGTTGTCTATTGAGATACTACTGAAAAAGTGGGTGGGGGCTACCAGCTTTTACTACTGGCATCAAATTCTAGTACAGAGGTACAGGTTGAATCCCTAATCGCGAATCCCCAACAAGGCACGCCGAGGCTCCCTTACTGTCTGACTACCGCTGTCCCTGAGGAAGGGCTTCAGCGAGACCCAGTCCACTACTTGGGTATTGGAACTGAAAGTTATTGTTCCTCATCAGTTTCCTCTATGGCTTCCTCATCTGCCTCCTCTTTTGCTTCCTCATTGCCGTCATCTCGGGTACCAAACTGCGGGTCAGCTGCTGGTTTTCTAGTGTCTTCCTCGCTTTCGGAACCAATACCACCACCATCTTGCATGGCCCAAGCAATTTGATCTTCCTCCACCATGTCTTGTGGAATGGCTGGCATTTGACTCAATGTGCCTCTCTCCTCTCCTGCAGATCTTCTAACTTGCCGTGGTGCTTTAGCGGGTCTTCCAGTGTCAGTGGCACCAAGCCCTGCAGTAGTCATGTCCCTTTTTCTCCTAGTACTAGTACTTCTTGTTGCTTTACCAATGCCAAGTGCATTCTGTCTTGCTGCAATGCAACTCCGAGATTGGTTGGTGTGAGCACTTAGTGCCCTCTTGCTTTCAAACCAAGCTTTACAGTAGTCGCAATACCAATAACCCATGATACAGCTAGTAGTAGCTAGCTAGTAGTACTTGCCGATCGCTAGCCCGTATAAAGGAACTGTAATACCTTTGGCAAAGACTACACGACCTTACAAACTGTGAGTGTGGTTACCAAAAGCTAACCCCCAAACCGCTCTGTACCGGATTCTGTATGTAGTTTCCATGTTCATTGGTATGGCATAGGGGACAAAACGGGACCACAAAATTGGTCGGTACCTATGGGGTTGGGAATTTTGGATGCATGCAGGGTTCCAAAACGGTGCATACTGCCACACCCAATGGAGAATCCAGTACCTGTTCCACACGAAACACCATCCAAATCCGGGAGCAATGACGTCACCAATCGCCTAGGGACGCATGTCATTCGGTACCTTCCAGACCTCGCTGTTTTTGCGAGACCCCATTATGCGCTTCTTAGATGTATGGTAATATGAAACTGTCGTGCAAGGATGACAGCAGCGATGATAGCAGCGACGATGAGTCAGAATCAGATGAGAGAGGAGGGAGAATGCAGAGAGGACCAAGTATATGAAATTGTCTTGGACTCCTCGGATGAGGAGGGCGACGAAGAGCTGTACCGTCCTGTATTCCCTAATAATTCCAGCGTTGGCTTTATCGAAAAGACTTTTATTATGACCCAGTACTCAAATCGTGTAGAAACCTACGTAACACTAATCACAACCAAAGAAAACCTCATAAACCACTCGATCGAAAAGGATCGACCATGGCCATCGACCGACCCGATACACTATCATCAGTAGCTCGAAAACACCAAACAGACAAGAACAACAAGCTTATTAACACTGCCGGTCCCATTCGAGCCTCTCAGCAACAGCAGAAAGTCCTCTACGGGGCCGAACGGCCAACCGATCCATCGATTGTGATTGCTGCCACAGAAGATACCAGTCATTCTGCGTAGAACCTGGTACACTTTCTACAGGCGAGTCATCTTCGAAAATCACAATCACAACCACAACAACAACCAACAACAACAACAACTCGAACGAACGGCCATTGACTTGCAGCCAACAGAACTTGAAGCTCTCCCCCATTGCAATCCTACCACAATCGGGCAAGCATCAAACTCTCGGAACAACAACTCAACTACCAGCCAATCTCCTAAGCCTTCGAAACATTCCCTCTAAATCTCACGGTAACTCGAACCGATCCAACCGACCGGCTGTTGAATTGCATCGTCAAGAACTTGGATCTCTCCCTCATTGCAATCCTACCACAATCGGGCAAGCATCAAATTCTCGAACCAACAATCCAACCAACAGCCAACCTCCTAAATCTTCGAAATACCCCCTCTAAATTCCCTGTCCCCTATATCTTCGAAACACTTCCCCTAAGTCTTCCATCCCTTATATCTCTGAAACCGTTCCTCTAAGTCTTCATCCCCTTATATCTCTGGAACATTCCCCTAAATCTCTTGCCCTTTATCTTTGCGACCAACCTCCGAGCCCCTTCAAGCCCTTGGAGCTCTCCCCCATTGAAATCCTATTACAATCGGGCAAGCATCAAACTCTTGAACCAACCATCCAACCAACAGCCAACCTCCTAAATCTTCGAAGCATCCCTTCTAAATCTCCTGTATCTTATATCTTCGAAACAATTCCCCTAAGTCTTCTGTCCCTTATATCTCCGAAAAACTTCCTCTAAGTCTTCATCCCCTTATATCTCTGGAACATTCCCGCTAAGTCTCTTGCCCTTATCTTTGAGACTAACCCCCAAGCCCCTTCAAGTCATTGACCAAGTGTAGCACCTTGATCTATCTTGGTGTGCAGCAGCAATCAGGCCCCTGTTGGTGTTCAAGGTTCAGGCCCCTGTTGGTGTTCAAGGCTGCTGATACTTGACCTTCTCAATGTCTTCACAAACCACAGTTCCAGTTAACTCCAAGACTCCTCTGAACTCCAAGATGTCATCTACCCCACCATCCTCCAAGAGAGGTAGTAGAGGACCTCCCACTGGAACAACCCCAACCAGAGACCCCAAGAAAGGCAGAACACTCTTTACCTATACTTTTGAATTAGAAGAGTTCTCCAATGATGCATTATCTGAATATGACAAGTCCATCCCACTAGACAAAGTCTTCCAGATCACCTCATACTCCATCTTCAAACTGAGCAAGGCAGAACTATCATTAGCCAAAGCCCCACTGTCAAAGCAAGAACTGCTCCCTGTGGCCAAGAGATTGCATAGGAATGCCCTGTGCTTTGAAGCCCAATCCCCTGATGTATCCACTGCAGCTGCAGAAGACAATCAGAACCAATCCTTTGGCACAGTCTACAAATTCCTTCTTGCACTAGTCAATGTCCAAGTTGCAGGATCAGACCTTCCCCTTTACACCACTAGGACCCCCAAGGCCATGATCATAGACTTCCTCAGGCTGGCTGCTACTAAACCCACCAATTGAGACAGATGGAAGCAGATGGAGAAACTGACCTGATCCAGATGGCAAACTGCAACTTGCAGCAGCTGCCACAGTGCAACTTCAACTTCAAGTATGTCAGAGCTGAGACACGTCTGAGGAAGCATGTGGGCAGGTCACTGTTTGAAGAATGTTGAAGGGCAATGCAAGGCAGTTGTGATCCTGAAGATGGTTGAAGGGCAATGCGAGGCAGTTGTGGTCCTGGAGAATGTTGAAGGGCAATGTGTGGGCAGTTGACCAACAGCAAGGCAATTGGTTAGTCTTGGGGCAATGCTATTCTTGGGGGCAATGTGCAAGTGTCAATGACTGTGACCCCAGACTGATGACTGTCCAAGGCTACCTGTTTGCTGTGAGACTGGTACTGATAAAAGGTCATTGTTGGTCATTCTACCCTGTTTCCCATGCTGTAAAATCAGAAACACAACAAACCCCATTTTTGAGCTCACAATTTCAAAGGTAAATTGTCTTAAAACAACAAATAGCAAAATACAATACCCTTTACTGGTTATTGAGCCCAAGCAATCTGACTAACCCTCACTTGCGCTCCCTCTGTCAAGAAGCAGCCTCATCCCTTCTCCAAACAAGGCAAGTACTTCAGGGCCCGGAAGGACTTGTCATCTGTTGGAGCAGGTTGTTGCTTGTGTGAATTGAGGTTGCACTCACTTCATTACAGCAAGCAAGTTTTGAAGAAGTCTCCAAGGGAGATTCTCTGAAGGCTCCAAGGGAGCAATTGATCATCGACAAGAAGCCTCCGCAGAGGAGCATTTGGTACCAAGGTCTCCACTGAGACAGGAAGAAGACTTCACAAGGAAGCAAGATGTCTGCCAGGAAGTTGCAGGACCTCGAGGAGCGCCTCAACCTGGCTGAAGCCAAGGCAGCTGAGGCAGAAAGAAAGGCGGAAGAAGCCAAGAAGGAACTTGAAGCCATGAAGACCGTGCAGTCCGTACAGGATGAGAAGGGAGAGAATGTTGTCAAACAGTTGCAAGAGATCTCTGGTAAGATCAATGAGAAGATGACCTCCACTCCCAAAGGCACAGGTAGTGCCTTCAATTTCAACAAGCCCTCCAAACCCAACATGGGAACAGTGGAGGAGGCCAATGGCCAGTGGATTATCAGGATGGGAGGTGTCCCCAAGCATGATTGGTCTGCATTGGAGAGCGAAACGGTCAATGTCCATGCCGGTCAGTACCGCCACTTGGACAAGACCAAGGGCATGAAGCGTGAAGCCGCCATTGGTAGTCTGGACCCAGGATGGAGCATCAAGGACTCCTTCCAAGTGCTGCAGCTCTTTGTCATCAACAAGTCTCGTGACTATGGTTTGGAACAGCACTGCTTTATGAATCACCCTCACAAGGTAGATACCATGGTGAATGTTGTTCTGAATCCCCACATGTTCTCTGGTGATATTGGGTTTGTCAAAAAGACAGCCGATTCCCTTTACCAGCACTATGATGACTTTGATAAGGAGAATGAGCATACCTTCAAGAATATGATTCTCAAATCTCTACACCCTGACCTCAAGGCCAAGGTGAATGGATTGGAGGACCAGAATGATCGTGCTCTTGTGACTTGGATCAAGGTTGTCCGTCAATGGAAAATCATTACCAGTGAACAAGCTACCAAACTCAAGCATGAATTGGAGGGATGCCTCATTCAGAAGTTTGATCGCATGGACGTTGCTGCCGCTCTTGAGTTCATCAAGCCCAGAGCCGAAGCATTGTATGACACACGTGATTGGGATCCTCTTTTTATCATTCCCTTTCTCAGATCCTTGTTCAATGCATACCCCAACGACTCTGAGTTTCATCTTGGATGGTGGACAGAAATTCAAACTAACATCATCAAGCCCTTGGAAGATGCTCATCGCCAATTGAAGATGGAGTTGGGACAGAATGGATGCCGCATCGAAGATGAAATCAAGGCAGCTCCTGAGAAATACCCAGGTCTAGATAGGAAGTCCATTCGGGATAAGGTTTTGGAACTGTATGAGAACGAAGTGAACAAGTTTCGTTGGCCTGCAAAGTCCTCGCCTCGCGACAGTGGCAAGAGTCCATCGGGCTTTGGTTCTACATCTGCTCATTTCACTCCAAACGATGCCCCACTCACCCGTTCCGATGTTATGGCCTTGGTTCAGAATCTTAGCAGCATTGGCTCCAAGCAGTCCAAGGGTAAGCCCAAGGGCAACCCAAAGGGCAACTCTTCTGGTGATCGTAGCTGTTGGACCTGTGGATCCAAAGACCATCTTGCCAACAAATGTCCCAAGAAGGATTCCTCCACGGCAAGGATCTCCTCCAAGAAGCAGCGAGGACGGCTTAAGGCCAACTGGAAGAATGTTCCCCCCAATCAAGGAGAGTCTCATGAAAAGAAAGATAGTGGTGGAGCCACTTGGTACTGGTGTGGTAAATGTAACCAAGGTGCTGGTCGCTGGACACGTTCACACAAAACAGCCGAGCATGGCCAAGGTGACAACTCGACCCTCAAAACTTCCAATGCTGGTGTTCATTTTGCCGCCATGGATGGACCCTGTGCTTGGATTACCCAGTCCCACTCTGGTTTGCTCCCCATACATTCTGGGGAAGGATTATTGATCTTGCGGATAGTTTTTTGGTGCCTCTACTCCTTGGATTTGCATTGTCTCGTGCTTTGTTCTCCATTGCGTTGCAGCGCCCCATCAGCATTCCTGAAGCTCTCAATGCAAGTCAGTCTTTTGTGCAGCAACTTGCCCATCAAGGGCAGACTATGTTGACCAAGGGATGGACCATGTTCTGTGATCTTCACGTTGGTGCCTTGCCTGATCCGGAGGGCTTCCATGGTCCCTTCATGGAAACCAACATGGATACCTTCAAATGCAGCATCAATATCAACCACCCTGTTCCCGAACCTGGTTTGGACTTCACCATTCTTCACACTTGGCTACTTGTGGGATGTTTCATTACTCTGCTGTGCTTCTCTTGGCTCTACTCTCCCGATCAGCCCAGCACTGATCCAATTGATGCACCTCCCCCTGAACCTCAGTCCCGCTGGATGCGCCGTCGCCATGCCCAAGCCTACCGCCGTTGGAAGTGTCGTGAGAATCGATCCAAGGGAGCAAGTATCCGTGATTATGGTTGCAATCGGAAATACCCCCTCCATCTTCGATCATCCGGAACTTACTACAAGGAAGCACCCCCCCTCTCCACTCAACGCATTCTCGGTGGTTTGCGCCGTTGGTTTCACAAGTCTCAGCATCGTCCCTCTGGTCATCGTCGTCGTCAAGCGTTTGTTCCTGCCCCTGTGCGTCCCAGGAAGGGAGAGAGTTGGCATCAGAAGAAACCAGGAGATCACCTGCGACAGCCCAAGCACAGACCCACACAACCCATCAGAATGCCGCCCCTTGTTGAGTTCTGTGGAAACATGTATGCAGTAAGGCCAAATTCTCGTCTCAGGCGTGCTAACAACGAACCTTTTGCAGCACCACAGCAACCAAGACAATCCGGACAGAAGCCTCGACAACCAAGGAACTCGAGAAGGAGGAACAAGATGAGACAACAGAAACCCAAATCAGAGTGCAAGCCAAAATTCAGCAGGAGCAAGACAGAACCCTTTCCCAGCTATTGCAAATTTCTGTACAACTTCCAAAAGCCCAAACCCCACAATGTTGGTCGAAAGGTACAACTCAATCATCCACCCTCAGGCTATTGTCAACCATGCACTGACTCGACAACATGTGGTCGCGGAGCTCGATGTGGTGGTTTGCAGCACTGTGGTTCATATCAGGACAAGTTAAAAAACAAAGTCAGCAGCTTGCAGCAGGATGGTGACTGGGTGATGGCACGAAGATTGCAAGAACAATTGGAAAAGGCACTCAATTCTCACAGTCCTGCAACTTGTTTGCACCCAGATGGCACTTCAAAATGCAGGTATCCGATGGATTGTTACTACTCTCAGAAGTGGAATCTTGCTGGCTTTCCTGCTAGTTCTCGACCTCAACCTCGTCGTGTTTCTGTCAAGGTGAGTCCCTATCGGAAGAGTTCAAGATTTGGAGAAATGGCCAGGCCAATGGAAAGTCCAAGGAATGGCATCGACACATACTGGCAGGCAACAGCCAGGCCAAGTATGACTTTCTGATGGCCATTATGGAACACCCTCAAGAGGCTTTCAAGCGATGGAACCAAGAACGACGCAGCCAGTCTGCCAAAAGGAAGGCTGAAAGGGAGCGACAGTTGCATCAATGGCTCGATACATGGTCTGATCGTTACAATGCCTTTCTCCCCACTCAAGAGGAATTGGAAGGATCACCACATCCGTCTGAGTGTTACACCAGCATTTCTGGAGCGATGCAATCTCTGAAAGCTGCCTTCATTGCCCCTCATCAGTTGCAAGGCGCATTATCCAAGGAAGCGGTGTTTCGAATTATTTGGGATTCCGGTGCAAGCCACTCCATTACCAACGATCCTCGAGACTTCTGCGGTAAAATGAAATCACCAGGACTCATTCGCACCCTCACAGGACTTGCCACAGGACTTCAGATCAAAGGAACTGGGACCGTGGCATGAACTGTTCTTGATGTACATGGCCACCCACGGACACTGCAGATTCCAGCATACTATGTGCCAGAGAGTCCAGTCAAACTGCTCAGCACAGCCCAATTGCTCCAGTGCTACCGTGGCGAAAAAATTGAGTTGGGTGATCGGTCCGCCACATTGTCTGGGATTGAAGGTGATGCTGCTCGTTGTCCTGTTACTGCTTTTGTGGATCCATCCAACAATATCCCAACCTGCACCGGATATCACATTGAAGCAGCTGAAGAGGCTGCCACAGCCCTACATGGAATGGTGTCTACTGTTGATCCTCGAAATCTCAATCTGAGTGAGGCCGAGAAGGAGCTTCTTCGCTGGCACTTTCGACTGGGACACTTGGACTTTCGGAAGATTCAGTTTCTGCTGTGCTCAGGTGCTCTTAGTCAAACTCCTACCAAGAGAAACCTTCACACCAGAGCTGCCAAGATTCAAACACCCCCTCCATGTGCTGCTTGCCAATTTGGTAAACAAACTGTCCGTCCAGTAAAGACTCCAAAAACTACCGCAGCTGTCCAAGATCGCCCCGCTCCGCTGAAGCATGGCAAGCTGTTCCCTGCCCAACTGGTATATGTTGATCACTTTGTCTGGTCCACCAAGGGAGTCAAGTTGGGAAGTCGCGGTGGTGCAAACTCGAAAGCCTACACTGGAGGATGCATTATGGTTGATGCCTGCAGTGGTTTGGTGTTTGTTCATTTCCAGGAGCACTTAAACACTCACGAGACTCTTGAAGGTATTCGTCTGTTTGAGGGCTTTTGTCGAGAAATGGGTGGAGCAGCTGTGATGGAGTACATGAGCGATAGTGGATCTGCCTTCACCTCCAAGCAATTTCAGGAACACCTGGCCCATCATCAACAAATCATGCACTTTGCTGGGACGGGCGCTCATCATCACAACTCTCCTGCCGAACGAAGTATCCGCACCATCATGTCTATTGCTCGGACCATGATGCTGCATGCAGCTACCCACTGGCCAGAAATGGCAGATGCAAGTCTGTGGCCACTTGCTGTTCAATATGCTACTCATGTTTTCAACAATGTTCCCAATCGAGATACTGGATTGTCCCCGATCGATGTCTTCACAGGCTCGCGACTGCCCCATCACAAGCTTCAGGATTTGCACGTTTGGGGCTGTCCTGGGTATCTCTTAGACAAACGGATTGCTGATGGAAAGAAGTTGCCTCGCTGGGAGCCCAAAAGCAATCGAGTAATCTTTGTCGGTATATCGACCCAGCACATTGGTGGCACACCCAAGGTATTGAACCCCACGACCCGCCAGGTAACCACTCTCTATCATGTGGTCTTTGATGACTGGTACGCCACTGTGGGTAGCCGACCTGAGGACTTTCCTGATTTTCGCTCCCTTGAGTGGCACAAGATGTTTGGAGAATCAACTTTTCAGTATGTTCAAGATGGCGAATGGTTAGAGGATGATATTTTCATTGATCCAGAGGCCCAACAGCTACTGGCACGAAGGGAGCAAATTGCACAACGCATGATGCCATTCTCACCTGCTCCTACTTCTGTCCCGTCAACTGATCTTGGCTTTAGATCTGGTGACCACTCTGTATTTTGGCATCCATCCCGCTGGAACCAACCAACAACTGGTCAAAGGGAGAATCGACCAATGATCAGCAACATGACAAGACAGCATCATCCCACTCATGCTCAACCAACCATTCAGCCACCAACAGTCAGCCAACCAACCATTCAACCACCAGTCCAGACAACTGTTCAAGCCCCAGCTCCAGCTCCAACTGTCTAGGCTCCAGCTCCAGCTCCAATCCCTGCACTAGCTCAAACAACAACCGAAAGAGCTGCAACACCAGCAACAAGGGAGCTACAACCACTGCAGCCTTCGACAACGACACCAAGGGAGTCTCTTCCACCACCGACGTTGACACCAAGGGAGTCTCAGCCAGCACAAGAGACCCCACAACCACAGAATGAGTTGAAGCCAAAGAAACCCCGGTGGTGACATGAATTGGGCCCACCTGATGATCGATTCACTGTTCGAGGTAAAAGGAACCGTACCAAAACTGACAGGTTGGGTGCCAATGTCAACATTGCTGGAGTTGATTTCACTGTGTCGGGCAACCGGCTCATGTCAAAGGATGTCGAATACGAGTTCTCAGCAGCTGCAGTGGCATCAGTATTCATGACTGTTGATGAAATCATGCCAACTGATGTTTACAAAGCTGCAAAATCTGACCCTGACACAATGAACCTGGAACAAGCTTTGGCTCAGAAAGAGAACTATGACAAATGGATAGCTGCGCTCGAAAAGGAGATCAGAGATTTGGAAGAACATGAAACTTGGGAAGAAGTCTCAGAAGAGAGTGCACAAGGCAAAATCATTCCGGCCATGTGGGTGATGAAAATCAAGCGAAAGCCTGATGGATCGTTTGACAAATTCAAGGCAAGGCTGGTAGTGAGAGGAGATTTGATGTCCAAGTCAGGTGATTACAATTTCGAGACCTATGCTCCTACCTGTGCTTGGAGCACCATTCGCATGGTACTGATTCTGGCATTGACTTGGGGCTGGACTACTTGCACCTGTGATTATTCCAATGCTTTTATTCATGCAACATTGGATGACCCCATTTGGATCAAGCTGCCTCGAGGCTACAGATCCAAGCTCCCAGGAAAATCTTGCTTGCGCCTCAAGAGATCTCTCTATGGGACCTCTGTCGCCCAAAATTGTGGGCGGACTGTCTCACCAAAGCACTGAAGAACTATGGTTTCACACAGTCAGAACATGACAAGTGTTTGTTCATCAAGCCAGGAGCAATGGTGGTAACTTACGTGGACGATCTTGTTTGTGCGTTCAAAGACCCATCAGAGACCAACAAGTTTGTGCAGAAGATGGAAGAGTTCGGCTTCAAGCTTAGCATGGAACACTCGATTGAGTCTTTTCTGGGAATTAAGTTTGAAGAATTGACAGGCGGTGCTTTCAATATGACACAGCCTGCCCTCATCCAGAAAATCATCACCACCACAGGCATGCAAGGTTGCAACGGCAGTCCCACACCAGCAGCTCCCAACCAACCTCTGGGAAAAGATCCCGACGGAGAACCAATGGACGAAGAATGGTCCTATCCCTCTGTGATTGGAATGTTGTTGTATCTGAGCACCAATACCAGACCTGACATTTGCTACGCTGTCAGTCAGGTTGCAAGGTTCACACATTCTCCCAAGCAGAGTCATGCCAGTGCTGTCAAGAGGATTGTCAGGTATCTATCAAAAACAAGTGGACAAGGCACCATCATGAGACCCGATGGCACATTGAGCATCAGTTCCATGAGTGACAGTGACTTTGCTGGCCTGTACAATGTTGACCCTGTTGATGATGTTTCCAGTGCCAAGTCACGCATGGGGTACATCATTTCACTTGGTGGATGCCCTCTTGTGTGGAAAAGCAAGGTGTTGTCATCAGTGTGTTTGGCTACAGCCGAGGCAGAGTATTACTGTCTGTCCCACTGCCTCCGAGTCCTGCTGCCCATTCGAGAAGTCCTCAAGGAGATTGTTGAGCACCTAGGAGCTTCAGTGGAGGTTCAATCGGCAATGTCTTCGAAGGTCTTTGGTGACAATGCTGCAGCCATGATTTTGGGAAGGACCCACCGTCTGACAGCCCGTACCCGCTACTACCATACAGCCGCCCATCATTTCTGGCAACATGTGGACAGCGGGGACATTGTGCTGGAGGACATCGAGTCAGCCAAGATGGATGCTGACTATTTCACGAAAGGAATGCCGCGTGAAGGCTTTGAAGCCAACCGCAGATGTGTCCAAGGTTGGTAACCTTGCACTCTGCACCCCTTGTGCCTGCTAACCAGACTGAAACAATATCGGCGGCAGGGTCGCTTCCAAGTGAAGTAAAAAGAAACAAAACAAAAATGATAAGTGTTACATAAAGTAGGAAAGCTGAAAGTGTGGATTCAATGTTGTTGTGAAGGGAGAATTGAGACAGATGGAAGCAGATGGAGAAACTGACCTGATCCAGATGGCAAACTGCAACTTGCAGCAGCTGCCACAGTGCAACTTCAACTTCAAGTATGTCAGAGCTGAGACACGTCTGAGGAAGCATGTGGGCAGTTCACTGTTTGAAGAATGTTGAAGGGCAATGCAAGGCAGTTGTGATCCTGAAGATGGTTGAAGGGCAATGCGAGGCAGTTGTGGTCCTGGAGAATGTTGAAGGGCAATGTGTGGGCAGTTGACCAACAGCAAGGCAATTGGTTAGTCTTGGGGCAATGCTAGTCTTGGGGGCAATGTGCAAGTGTCAATAACTGTGACCCCAGACTGATGACTGTCCAAGGCTACCTGTTTGCTGTGAGACTGGTACTGATAAAAGGTCATTGTTGGTCATTCTACCCTGTTTCCCAAGCTGTAAAATCAGAAACACAACAAACAAAATCCCCATTTTTGAGCTCACAATTTCAAAGGTAAATTGTCTTAAAACAACAAATAGCAAAATACAATACCCTTTACTCCATCCTCTTTAGTACTACATTGAAGATTGCAAATAACCCACAAATCCAAGTGAAAGTATGGTTCAATGCTCAAATGACACTTGGATCCTACTTCTCAGTACCAAGAACAAACCAGAAGAAAGGCAAGACAACATTGATTGATTACTTCACCCCAATCCCTCATGCCACTAGCCCATCAGTGGTGTTTAACGCCTGGAAGAAGATTAAAGACAAGGAATCCCAAATCCCATCACAACCAAAGGAACCAACAAGACAGGCACCCAAGACAGGAATCCTCAAGAATCCACCAAAACAGCAGGATACCTCCGGGCTCAATGACACAGGACACACTGGTAAGTCAGCCAAAGAACCTGACAAATCAGACACCACACCCAAGGGAAAACCTACCACCACCGCCAACCAAATCACTCCCGCAGACAAACAAAAAGCCAGACAGAAAGCCAGGAAAGAAGGCACTATTAACATTGAAGGCCTTCCCGATGACGATGGATCTTCACATGATGACTCTGAGGAAATGGACATTGACAGCGATGATGATGATGGTGATCCTGACAACAATGAGGAAGAGGAATGGCAGCAATACCATTCAAAGCACAAGAAGAAAAAGGCCCTACAAAAGAAAGTTCAAGAAAGAAAGAATGCCCTTGCCATGATGATGCTAGAAGAGAATCCCTGCTCAAACACCAAGCGCATGATGTACAAACTATACATCCCCAAGAAAGAGGATATGGACAAGGACACTTCTGCCAAGAAGTATCTGTGGGATTCTGTTGTTGAAGTCTGGGAACGAATGCTAACTGAAGAAGCAGCCCTTGTGTGCCTCCCCTACAAGTCCTCCTCCTCAGCCAAGATTCTCAAGAGTCCCGAAATTCTCCCCAAACACAACGAATGGATCAAATGTGCTGAATACATTCACTGTCCAGGCACAGCTAAGTACAACAAGGATGTCTACTTCTACATGTATTGGGGATATGAGACTGAAGATGATAACTTCCCATCCTACCAAGGCACACATGAGGACTGGTTCAAAGGAAAGAAGATGACTGCTTACCCAACGACCATTCAAGGAGCTGAGTCGGAAGAAACCCTGGGATTCTTCACCATGTCCAACAGGCATACTGACATGGAACTCCTCCATAGCAGGATCATCACAGACTACCTCTGGATCAGCCAATTTCCAAGGAGACCAGAAGCTCCTTTGATCGGTCTTGCCTACAGATGGGTTCCAGGATTGAACCGCCCCAAAGGATATAAAGGACCCCACCTCATACCCCTGACCCATACAAGGATCTGTGATGCTACTAGATGTTGGAGGAAACATACCTGACACCTCTTTACTATTGACTCGTGTATTAATCATCTAGTCCGGTTCGCATGTAAATTGATCATGCAAGGAACCAAGGGAGTTTTAGGTCTAAAGTGTTGCGGGGGTCCTTATATCCAATTCAATCACAAGAGTTGCTATGCACCACCAGAAAATCCTCACTTTTGCTTTTCAGCTTAATCTAAAACCAAATTACTCCCCAATAAGCTGCAGTATTACTAGCAAACAACACTGAAAAGCAAAAGGCCATCTCGAGTTACTACTACCGATCTCGAGATCGATATCAAGGTAAACATCAAGTTGAATTGACTTGAAGTGTATTGAGTTAACTACTGCAACAGAGCAGAGGTGCGCAGAATCAGGCCCTAGCTACACTATAAAGGATACCAAACAGCTCTAACATGAAAGAGGTGCGTGCGCGGGAATTCCCATCTTCAGTCCCATTATCACACGTCAAAGATCAACTGTCAGTTTCGGCCGGAACTACAGCGATCCAAGCATACCAGGTGATCAAGGAGAACAAGCTACACGTATCGTCCGCTTGAAGAAAGGAAATCCGTCTCTTATCCAGTGAGTTACAGTCGATTACGTCATCGTGTCATCGCGCGAGATTTTGATCAGTCATATCACGGTGAGCGACAGGCAACATCTACCGATCAAGCTATCGTCCGAACGGAGCTCTGCAAGCCAAGACACCAATAGAGAGAAAGTTGCGCAACACGTCAAGGATACTCTGAGTATCAGTGCACGCTTCTAACTCCCGATATTGAGTGAGATAGGTTGATCCGAGTGATCCACCGCTATTGTGAAGTGAAAGACAAAAATCCCGGTAACGACACAGAGCTTTAAAACTCCTTCAACTCCTCACGAGAGAGTTGTTCCAGCTATTGAAACTCACACAGTGCACTTACCCAAGCATACCAAGACCATCTGCAAGCTTTGCAGAGGCAACAAGAGGACCAACAGAGTCAGTTCGCTACTACTCAAGGATCCATACCACCACGTTCTACGTGAGCTGTCAAAGACAGAGGCTATCCAGCCACAAACAGGTGCACCAAGAGTGACCAAAAGAAGGCTATCCAGCCAACAAGCTTTTACAGGCAACTACAAGAGTAGTGCCCGTCGTGAGATCCTTCCTGCAGGAGTATCCACACCAAAACACAAGCTAGTTCCAAGGAACAAGCAAGCACAAGAGTGCATTACCACACCAGCAAGACCATGAGATTCCAAGGAAGAGGTGGTCGTGGTGGAGGAAGATACCCTTCTAGGGGGGGGGGTAGGGGATTCAATTCCTCAGGAAGAAGCCATCAAGGAAGAGGCAACAGCTACAGGAACCAGAACAAGAGTTCCAAGCGCCAGTTCCTCTTCCATCCAAATGGACAGGCTGACACCAGGTATTATCCTTTTGAGGAGACCCTGACACACATTGTACAGGACCTAAGGATCAAGCCTGAATGGAATGATGTGCCACTGGCTTCATTGGCCATTGAGACCATGAAGAGTCAGGCGCCATCCAAGTCGGACAAGCCGACACTACAGGCATCACTTGCTGATCCCAAAGTGCAAGAGTACGATGCTTTGGAACTCAGCGAGTACAAGGCAAAGTCATCCATCTACGACAAGTCGACTCGATCCTATGAGAACATTCTCAAGACTGGTGCAACCACCATTCAGGTGACATACTGTACCGAAGCTATGAAGTCCAAGTTGAGAGGCCTCCCAGACTATGAGGATGCAGTCAAGCTCAACCCCATTGTGATGCTCCAGAGGATTCGTTTGATAGTGATGCAAGGCTCTACAAAAGAGTTCCCATTACTACAATACATCAAGACCATCCAACGTGGTCTGTTCCCAAAGCAAGAGTATCATGACAGACTTGACTACTACTTGAGGAAGGTCGACAGCAACGTTGATCAAGTCTATGATCTGGTCGGCACGGCGTTCATTGATGTAAGAACTCTGAACTCAGACGATTACCAGGCCGCATCTGGACAAGACGCCAAAGACAAGGTGTTACTTGCGGGACAAGCAAGGTTGAAGGCAACCGTGGCCTACCATGGACTACAAGAAGGAAGATATGGCGATTACCAGAAGACCGTTGAGGCAGCCTATGCCATGAACGGTACCATCCAGTTCCCTGATACCCTTGATCATCTTAGAGAGACGCTGTCCAATGACAGATTCAAGCCCAGCAAGGAATGGT